GCCACTCATTCATTTAATAATTAATATAAAATTGCTAAGAAACAAGATTGTTCAACAAACTCAGATCAATTGTGGAAAATTGGAAGGAACTAGCTCACGAATTAGAAACATAAGCCCCAATTTTCTTTTGCTACAATCATCCTTCAGGCCAATATTTGGACTTATCTTAAGGGCATGATAGAAATTTGTTGGGTAAAGAAGAAAAGAAACAATACCTTTACCCCTTGAGAATTACCCTTCCAATAGAGAAATAAAATAAAAACAATCACACAAAAATATAACGTAAAAACTTCAAAAATCAGAGAAAAAATCACAATCGTTGTTTAATGATAACCAGAGAATAACACTATATGAAAAGTTTTACAACGCATACTCTATTCTCCTTTGCCCCAATTACACTTACACTCTTCAAAGTAAGTAATTAAACTAAACCTCACAACACTAATACAAGAGTATAAGAAAAGTAAAATACAAGCTTAAAGTGTTTCTAATTGGGGTGGCTTGATACCATAGACTCAGGTTCATTATACAGCCTTGTTCACCCACTTCCTTATTCATCCCAGGCGATGTGAGACTTTTTCCAACATACCTTGAACAGTGTAAGATTTTCAAGATGTATTATTTTCATTAATCCCAACAATCTCCACCATGATTAAATTTTCTATTTTCATTGCCTACACCAGCAATCATTGTCTATATCGACAATCATACTCCACCATAAAGAGTACACTCACTTGGAATTAAACCACTCTAAGAATTTTCTTTCACCGTACACCCTGCATAAATGTTAGCCAAATGCTTGTGTACAATTACCACACACCTTACATCAATGCTAACCAATGCCTGTGTACAATTATCGCAGACCCTGCATCAGTGTTAGCCAATGCTCGTGTACAATTACCACATACCTTGCATCAATACCAACCAATGCCCATGTATAATTACGCACACCCTACATCAGTGTTAGCCAACGTCCATGTGTAATCATTGATCCTTCCATCAAATTTCTCTATGTCACATTTAACAACACTTGCAAATGACATTGTAGCTTCAGCAACCAAGGATGATTCTCCAACAATAAGGAATTAATTTTTTCTGATGTGGAAGATCAAACTAAGCTACAACCACATAGCATACTAAGAATATCCTACCAAACTATAAGCTCTAATACCACTGTTAAGTAAAGAAGAAAAGAAATAACACCTTTACCCATTGAGCATTACCTTTCTAACAGAGAAATAAGATAAAAGAAATCACACAAGAATATAACGTGAAAACTTCAAAAACTAGAGAAAAAACCACAATCGTTGTCTAATGACAACTAGAGAATAACACTATGTAAAAAATTTTACAATGCATAAACTATTTTCCCTTGCTCCAATTACACTCAAACTCTCCAAAGCAAGTAATTAAATTAAACCTCACAACACTCTAATACAAGAGTATAAGAAAAGTAAAATACAAGCTTAAAGTATTTCTAACTAGGGTGCCTTGATACCATGGACTCAAGTCCATTATATAGCCTTGTTCACCCACTCCCTTGTTTATCCCAGCTGATGTGGGACTTCTTCCAACATACCTTGAACAATGTGAGATTTTTAATATGTACTATTATTGTCAATCCCAACAAAATTCACGTGTATTTTCTCCCTCCCTTAAAGTTTTCTTTAAAAATGCAATAAAACCACTTCCATCATATTCTAACTTCTTTACAACCATTCTTCCATGCCTATATTCTATGTTTTTAATAACTTTTTGTTGCACTGTTCCTATTCTATTCATACCTCTCATAATTTGTGCAAGTTTCTTTCTTTTACCCTAATTGCTTAACCTTTTAGATTGCATGATTCATAGGTTATTTGATCCATAAGAAAAGATTTCTAATTTAAGTGGGTCTAGCTTTTTTGGAGGATCATTTGATCTCAAAATTGAACACTTGGGTTGTTATATCTACACTTTAACATCTTTCTTTCCTTACAATATTTTAAACGTTTTTTTAACCAAATAAGAAAGAAAAAACAAGTGGTACGGTACCTATATTAATATATGCTAGTTTCATTCACTATAGCACTAAAATAGTCACATAATGTTATGATTTATGAACTTTTTTCATGTGGAGAAGCAGTATGTGTTGGTAAAAAAGGAGCGAAATGTTGAAGTATTTGAGTCCTCACAAAGCATGGAAAAACTGCATACACCTTATACTCACCAAGTTAAAGATGAAGAAGAGGAAGTATCTTTGTCTTTGTCGATGAAAGAGCTTAACCATAAGAGGGAAGCAAAAGCTGCTAACAGCCTTTTGACCCCATGCACCAGTGAAGGTTCTACAAAATACCCTAAAATAGACCAAGACTTGTTACCCAATAATGCTATTACTAAAAGGACATCAAACCAAGCTCCTGCAAAAGCCGAAGCCCCAGCAGCAAAAGCTGCAGCAACCGAAGCAAATAATGATGAGATCAACTTCGATGAAGTCTATGGAAGCCTTGGCAATATTTTTGATGTTGGCTATAATTATAATATTTTTGATCACTTCAAAAATGACTAGTGGGAGACTTAATTAGTCAAAGTGTCAATCTATTATTTGAGATTATATATATATATATATATATATATATATATATATATATATATATATATATCTTGCGAGATGTATATAAAAAGATGCTTTAAACTTTTGAGCAAAAATTTATTTAATGGCATGGGTGTGATTTTGACTTATACACTGTTATATAACCTGTCATGATATTTTTGCTTTATTTTAAACTTTTGATAAAATATAATTTGTACTTCAATCATTAAATTATAGTTATTTATATTTATGTAAAACCTTGCATGTTTAAATAAACAAAAAAATATAAATAAATATTTTTATGTTTATATTTTTAATCATATATAACTTTACTTTTAGTGTATATCAATAAACTATTAAAAAATTTAAAATTAATAATAAAATTTTGTAGATTTGATTATTTACTAGGAAATTTTAATGTAATCATAAATTTTGAAACAAAATTTTCTAATAAAAGGTAATGAAATAATATAGAATTAATATTAATTATTTTTTTAATATCACATAATAAGAACCTATTATATAATAAATTTTTATTAAAAAATTATTAGATTTGATATATTGATAACATTAATGTTATAATTTTAATAAAAATTTACCATTCTTAGACATTATAAAAATATCAACTTACATTGTTATAAATCGATTTCTTTTCTTTTATTTTAAATTTATGTTGATATAAATCAGTTTTTTTTTGTCCAGTACAATTTCATTTCATATCTTATTTAATGGTGTTGGGCCATGCTAACTAAGTCCATAAGTTAAGGCTCGAATACTATAGGCGCATTATGTAAAAGTAGTTTTTATCCTAAAATCAACTGATGGAAAAATTCCTAAATTGGTGAAAAAAAAAAACTTCATACTTCAAAAGCACTATGTACACACTTGATTTATATTCTTAATTCCTTTTCCTTATTTACAATATTTCAAGATAAAAATAAGAAAAAAAAACTAGATTAAGGATGTTAATTGTGAAAACAATATGCGCAATATATAAGTGCACAAAAAATTTGCTAATTTAAGGATGCTTATTAGATAGGCTGTACTTATCTCTTAGGCTTGTTGTAACCTTTTTCACCCAACTTACTTTAAACTGAAAAAAGTAATAAATGTAAGTTTAATTAAAATCAAGTTTAAATAAAACAGGATTGAGTTGATTGAAATATTTATTAAATAAGATAATAAAACTGACATGAAATGTTAATGTAATAATTTGTCATAGATTTAAAAATATAAATAAAAAAATAATTTATTTTTAGTTTGAAAATAACAAAATTATTATTAACGTGTGTGATATTTTAAATTTTATTTTATTTTTTAATCTTTATATGAATTGAATTAATGATATTTTAATATGTATAGTTAATTTTTTTTATAATTATAACGGGTTAGAGTATTTTTCATACTTTAAATTTATTTTTAATAAAATATTGATGTTTAAAAAAATTATATATCACAATTTTTTTTTTCTGCCTCCACACTCAAAAACCTATAAAATTTATGCTAACAATGAAAGATTATAATGAATCTGTGGTAAACAATGGCACATATAAGTAAGACTTACAAGAAAGAGAGAAATTGTGCATGAGTAATAAAATTCTTACAATTTGTTTTTATTTATTTTATTACACCATTTATTGTTATCTATAATTTCCCTTTATATCTATCATTTTTTCCTACAAAATTGAGAAAAGAAAGTTCATACTTTAGAAATCAAAACAAAAACATTCATTACATATTTCTTTTATACCCTTTTAATATCTTATATAATTATTTGTGTTATTAAAAATATTTTAAAAATTTATAAATATAAAATTTAAAAATATATAATTAATAATTTTAAAATAAAGAATAATTCATAATTATTCAAAATTAAATTTAAACAACAGTTAAATATCTGATCCTAGTCAAATGACACTACTACTCCATTTAAATTCAATGTGAAAGAGTGTTCCTTCAAACTCACTACCGACCACAATCATATATGGCTATCCTTCTCAAATAGACAATCACTCAAAGACTTTGAACTAAGCTACATGGCTAAAGCCCCAGCTGTGACATATGGACATGCTCCTATCCCCTAACAATGAAATTTTCACCTTAACTAATGACACTTATTAAATGCTTGATTTATGTAAAAGTTGCATAGTTTAAATTTTATCTTTATAATAACGTATTTTATTTTATTAAATATAATTTTTATTTTTTTATGAACTATTATTTTTAATCATTTTAATTAAAATAATTCAACTAAAAGCTGATACTTAATAGTCAATGGAAGAATTTATAAAAAATTAGAGATTAAATCTTCATAAATTGTTTTTATAAAGACTCGGGTACAAATTGTGTAGGAAATGACCACTTAATAATGAAAAACATACTTTAATTTTGCTAATATATATTTTGCCAGAAAACGTGGGAAAATGTTATTGGGGTTTGATTATAATTAAAAAGAGAAAGACCCATTGTGGGTGTTGAGGATCAGATAAGGCTTTCTTCCTCCAATTCCCATGGCAGCACCTTCACTCTCCGCAGCACTCACTTCTCTCTCCTCTCTGACCCTCTCAACCCCATCTCGCTTCTCTCTCCTCCCCACACCATCAAACAAACACTCTCTCTGCCTCGCCAAACCCTCACTCTTATCATCCCTCAAAGCCAAACCCCAAGACGACATCGACACCTCATTCTTCGACAACGTCAATCCCCGAGACGACATTCCCTTCGTACCCCCCGAAATCCCCGAAGGCTTCGTCCCCCCTCCCTCCTTCGATGACGGTCCCCCCGAAACCGAAGATGAAATTGCCGCCGCATACGAGGAGCTCTACGGCCCCGCCTACAGCGGAGTCAGCGTTCTCGGCAACGACATTTACGTGATGGACTCAAAGACCAAGAGGGACACTGGCTTCGGTTCCGGTGTCAAGAAAGAGAAGCTTCGAGATGGGTTCGAAGAGAGGGTGGTTCAGGTTCGGAGGGTGACGAAGGTGGTTAAGGGAGGGAAACAGTTACGCTTCAGAGCCGTTGTTGTTGTTGGTGACAAGAAAGGCCAAGTTGGCGTTGGCGTTGGCAAGGCCAAGGAAGTTATTGCTGCAGTTCAGAAGTCTGCTATTAATGCAAGGAGGAACATCATCAAGGTCCCTATGACTAAGTACTCCACTTTTCCACATAGGTACTACTACCACCACGCTTCCTCAATTCACACAGTATTAATAACAATGCTTGTGAATGTTTTGAACTGTGTTATGTTTTGCAGTTTATCAGAATCTTTTTAATAAATTTTACTGTTTTTGTGCTACTGCTACATTTCTATTTCTTTTTTTTTCCCTTTTCCATCTTGATTCCTAAAATTTCTACAGGTTCTGATAGTGATGCCTTTGAAGTAGATATAGCAGGCATTCAGTTACATTGGGTTTACCATTATTTAGATGGATCCTATTTAGTTTGATGAAAGACTTGTCAGATGCATTGTATGAAGTTGTTTTAGCTCCGTAGGCCTGAAGTTCTCGTTGATGAGAGCTATACACTTGATTCTCCCATGAGCCTTTGTGTGTAACGTTGAATTATCGGAATGCATCTTGTGTCTGAACTTCTCCTGGATATTTTGTGTATCTAAAAGTTTTAGGGACCTCATTTCTAAATTAGCAAACTATTTAACTGTATTATGAAGCTCTCTTGACTTTAGACTTGATTCTGCATTGTTATGCTGACTTTGTTCACTTGAAAATTTTGGTACACTGAAACACTAAGCTTATTTCTCTTGAAAATAATGGAAGCCAAACTTGTAGAGTTGGTCTTGTATCTCGAAACTTTTGCATGTTTGAAATGCCACTACCTGCCAATTATTAAATAGAAATAAAGGAAAAATAGTATCTAATAGGTACAAGTGTGGGCATATAATTGTTTGTTATTTACTTCCTAAGGTTTATTGCACTGTACTTGAGCATTTGATGAATACTTATATATAATAAGTTTTTATTAGAAATCATAGGATATCACAGAATTCAATACATGGATAACATTAAATGCTACAATTTTTAATAAAAACTTTCTATTAATTGATTTCTTATTAGATGTTCTTCAGCACACATTAGAAAAATCAAAGAAAATATCATCATGGTTCTTCCTGATTTATGTTGGGTACCAGTAGCACTGCCACCTTGGAAGTACTGAAAGGAGCATGCATTTTCAACTCTCAATCTCCTGTCATAATTTTTTGCATACAAATCAGGTGTCATTCAAGAATGTTCCTTGATCAAGTCCCATCCTGGAATACCAAAAAGTTTATGATACGTCGATGGTGGTATTAGAAACATAATATAATGATCACTTTAAGCTAGCAATAGTAACTTGTATACTGTCCAGTCATAACCAAATAAATTTTGTTTGGAAGTTCCTTAACTCAAATAGGAACTGTGGAGCTTAGCTTGTTCCTGATGAGAATTGGAACTTTTATTTCAGAGTAGAACTATGTCAGTTACTCTGATATCCGCCATTCTGGATTGATCTACGTATGAATTGAGTTAAAAATAATAAATTGCTCTCATTGTAGATTGCTGCTACTAATTTTTGTGTATTATATGTTTTTCTAGATCTGATGGAGATTATGGAGCAGCAAAGGTGATGCTAAGACCTGCTTCTCCTGGTACTGGAGTTATTGCAGGTGGGTCTGTGAGAATTGTTCTTGAAATGGCAGGAGTTGAGAATGCTTTGGGAAAACAAATAGGTAGTAATAATGCGCTCAACAATGCTAGAGCGACCATTGTTGCTGTGCAGAAAATGAGGCAGTTCCGTGAGGTTGCTGAGGAACGTGGGATTCCAATGGAAGAATTATGGAAGTAATGTAATCTATGAATCTCATCTGTGATATAGAACTGGTCATAGTTCTTGTTAAGGAAGTGAAAGTGTACCATTTTTGTTGAAAGTTTTCTGAAAGAAAATTGCTTCAAAAAGCTACTTGTTCAACTTGAATCATATACATATTATTCACCTCCCTGTTTAATTTGTATCTATGGTTATACAATTTATGCTTGGCTTCATCATAGTTGAGGACTGATCATTATTCTTCTCTCATCTTAATTAAATCCAATCCAAGATGCTATTTTCAGTTGCAGAAGGTGTGAATCTTCCATCATCAGGGAGGGAGTCCCATTACCATCGATTAAGGAACCACGCTGGGCTTCAATGTGTTCTTGATGGGGACGCTTGTTACCAATTCTAATTACTCTGCCATTGTTTGAGTTCGACACATAGATATGTCGATCTAACACTGAATTCCCCATTTTGGTTTGCTTCCGGACGAGTTTGTCAGGTTGGCCACTAATAGAAAGTAGAATTGTAAAATCTGCTCTTCTATAAAATGAACAAATATTTCGTTTTCTTTACACCTACCTCCTACCGCTCTTCCATTTAGATTAGACTCCAATGTTGGTGTGCAGAGCCTTTTCATCAAGGTTCCGGTAAAACAATAACCAATTTAATTCATTTTTTCAGTTATCATATTTTTAGTTTATAAACTTTTAGTCTCAACTTTAGTTTTGATTTGGACTAATTTAATAGCAAACATTCTACTCGAGATTGTTGATTAGAATCATAATTCCACGTTTAAAAAATTCAAAGCATGAGAAGCCTCAATATAAGATGTTTGGATAATGTAGGATCCCGAATAGAGGTTATACCAGCTTAAGTGCAACTCAGTTCCAACTAAGCCCACACCTATAAAGATAAAAACATGTGACTACAAAAATTTCCGCCTCTTAAATATTTCTATCAGCACAACAAAGCTACAATGATTGAGAAAGCCTTCTCAAAACTGAACAGTAACAAGGAATGTTGGAATGAGCTATACAAAAAATGAGAATCCAAAACAGTGACGATGATATGCACTCTTAACTGGGAAGACGCTTAACCCGATAACATATTATACTCTCACAACATCCTGGAGGCAATCATAGAAATGAGAGATATTAATCTTCTCTTTGCCAGAATAGATAGCTTCTGCAGATCCACCGTGCTCCCCTTGCACTGCCATCTCAATCAACATGTATAGCTTCTTGATAGGCATCTGAGAATAAAAATTGAGCACAAAATAGACGAGTCAGAATAGGTACCAATAACAATATGCAATTAATTTTCTTTGCGAACCACTGGATTCCAATAGAAAATGTTGTGCAAATTAAATTAATAATAACCAAACAATTTAAGTTCCCGCTAGTAAAAGAAATAGTGTGCTAGAAAGTTCCAAATTGAGCACCATTCACATTTTGAAAGAGACTGAGAAAAGTAAAAATAAAACCTTGCTTATAACAAGAGAAATATCAACAGACAGAAGACCAACAGCTATTCTACTAGTAATCTGTATACAGGATAAGCCCAAATTAACATAAAAAGAAAACTCTGCTATATCCTCTTGCATAATTTCTAAATAATCTGGTACTACTTTAAAATGTAAATATTAAATGAAAAAGTACATCCATTTATTATGTTAAAAACAAAAAACTTATTTAATAATTTCTTCATTTCATAATTAAGAGGATTTGTAAGAATAAAAGACAAGGATTTAGAACTATTCAAAAACTGAGTATTCTTTGACATAATCATTGGATTTCCCTTGTCTAAGAAGTAAGTCAGCCAATACTTAACACATGACAACTAAACGAATGAAGCACATAAAGGAGTGAATATACATACATCATTCAACGCCTCTGCAGCAGAATCAATATCTTCATCCGAAAAAACATTCAAATATTGTAGGACCTGTGATTTCAAAGATGAGAAAAGAGAAGTTTAACATTTATTTTGAAATACAATATTTACACAAGACACAATTTGGCACAAAAACTCAAGAAACATTAAATTGTTGATTCACATTCAACGCTAGCAAGTGATACAATCACTTAAATTTCAACACATGAAACAACTGATTTATCATCAAGAGAAACAAATGAGCATAAACAATAACAGTAAACGTGCATGATGTACATCTTAATTAACTTATGAGCCAGACAATACCCCTATGTAAAGAACATCTATGATTACCTTCTTTGCATCATTAGTGTTCAAAGAAGGAACATGGTAAGTGACAGAGAAAGTATCACAAAATCCAATTGAATCCAAGAAAACCAGTTCACTTGTCGTGCCAATAACCAAGAGTTTTTTACCCTGACAACATGGATCGAAATAAACATTAATTAGAGTAAGATTTAGGCATCAGAAACAAAATTATTATTTGGTTAGCCCACTGGCACAGTAAAGTAGCATGACAGTAGATGTTCTTCAGCCAACCACCCCTCCCTGCTCTCTACACAAAGAGAGGCATTGGCATTGGGTTTCCAACAACAAAATCAGATATACAAGCAAGTTGAAATTTGAAATCATCGAATCCAGATCTATTTTGATCAGCTTTGCTTTTAAACTTCTAACAGATATGCTTCCTAAAGGAACGTAAAGAATTAAGATGAACAGAAACCTTTGGAGGAAGCCGTTTCAGCAGAACCATCAATGTCTGAGAAATCAAGTTTGAAAAACGGGGACCAATAGACACATACTCCAATAATCTGAATCAATGTAGAAGGAAACAATTAAATTAATATTATACATTAAGAAAGAATTGTAAAGGATGATCAAATAAAAATCACAAATCTTACCGCTCAATATCATCAAGAATAATGACACTCAAAGGTGATTTGTAAGCATCCTCAAAAACCTATTAGAAACCATTATACCTTAGAATTCACATAATTCAGCTAAATAGCTAGGGAAGACTACTATATCAAGTAGTTGTTAATGTCCTAGAAATAATTGAAAGTAAAAAGCACGTAATTGACTGTTGACTTGATAATGTTCATAAACGAATCTAATCCACCACAAAAACCAAATTGAAAATGTTGATATGTAAATATGATAATTAGGAACATCAAGATTACGTTTCTGTAAATACGATAATTAGGAACGTAATATTAGGATTACATTTATTAGATAATTTTCTATAATTATTATAGACTCTTGCACACTTGTATAAATTCAGACCTTTAGGTCAAATGCAATACCTCTTCTCCTTTCTATAGAAAAATTGAAAATAAAAAACCAAAAACAAACTGAAAACCACAAAACCCTAACTTTTATTGTTTGGATTGGATTTTGGATCTAATTAAAATTTTATCAATTTGGGATTAGTCTAAACTTTAAAGTTATTCTTGTGTCACATTTTTTTTATTATATATAGTATAAGTTTTAATTAAACAAAGTGTATAAGGAATAATAAAATAAAATTTACCCACCATCTTCTAACTTAAAACAAAAATATAAAAAACGAATCATCCAATTAAATCTAACTCACTCTTAATTGGAACAGATTAGAGAGGATATTATATTTAAATCAATCCAAAATATAAGTTATGACAAACCTTAATAATTTGTGCACATTTGGTGCTCTCATGTAGACCAATCATTGATTCAGCCGACACCTACCCAATTATACAGATCAGAATTACAAGTAGTTATAATTATGAAGTAAAAGGCAATGCAGATTTCCCAAGAGTAATATTCAAGATATGGAGAGAACGTACTATCTTGACATATGGAAAGTCGCTGTCAATACCAATAGTAGCTGCAAGGGCGGTTTTACCACTATGACAACAAAGTAAGTTAGAAACATTTTATTAATAAGCTCAAATTAAGATGCAAATTCATACACAACATACCTGCCACTAGAACCTTCCAGCAGACAAGTAATAAGTGGGCTTCCTTTACTCACTTTAACTTGTTCTACAAGTAGCATTGCTCTTTGATAAATGTGCTTATGTCGATCACCACAGTCCACCATGCCATGGAGTCTATAAATTAAATAACACAAAAATATGTTATAACAGTAACAGTAAAATGCAGCTTCCACGAAACTTCTAGATAGAGTAAGGTTTACAATCTATCAAATCCATCATAAAACTAAATAACTGCTTTTGAAAATGAGTAAAGCATAAAACAGCAGCACGGCAAAAATATTTGTGATAAACTAACCAAGGGACCCCCACAAACTCCATCTTCATTCTACAAGCAAGTTGTCAACACCTTTCAAGCCATCAAATTATTTTCTGTTTAAATGTTCAATAATGAGGAGGTAGCAAACAAATATATTGCATATAGCCTGAAAATTGTGAAACTTTGATACTTTGTTTTATATTAGTCAGGTAAGGGGCTGCATAGTCTTTTGCCTTTTTGCTATAATAGTGGAGGTAAGAGATGGAATGTTGAGATATTATCATGTAGCTGAGTGCTAGTCCCCAGTTCAGTTACAAAAAATATTAGCTTCTGCTGTACTTGTTTGCTGTTAGTTGTTCAAAGTCAGTTAGACTTGTAACAACTTCTTTTAAAATTAGTTTAGCTATAGCCTATAGCAATAGTTGTCTCCAATTGTACAACAGACTCCATAATGCAAGAGCTCAGAACTTAACATCAAAGCTTATCATATTATGAAATACACAGTTTCAAAAACTGCTCTCAGGTTTTTACTCTTTCACTAACAGTTTTCCTTTATTTTCTTGCCCATGCTCAGATTCTTTCATTGAACCAATATAATATTGCCAATATTTTCAATCTGTTCTTAAACAAAGAGAAATTTTAAGAGGTGGAAGATCAAACCAAGAAATTGAAACAAAAATTCAAGTACTTTGTATGCAGGTGATTTCATTAGGACAAAATGCAAGGGCACTTTAATGGTTTTTTGCATTTATGGAAATATAAACTAATTTCATATTAATAGAAGAAAAAGAAGCACTCAGATGTGCTAATGAATCAACTTATGTTTACTGGCCCTGCATCAAAATTGAGGTGATAGACTTGATGAACCCTGTCTGCCATATTTCATTCCATTCATATAGAATGCATCAGCTAATTAACTCAAAGCATAATCAACAGCCTCAATATACCAGGGCAGAAACAGAGAGACTGTTGGGAGGCATCTGCAGCCTGATAATTGGAAATTTTTTCTTTATTTTAGTGTTATCTACAGGTGAAAAATATTATTTCCATGTTAGGTGTAAATGTAGTTACACCCCCAAATGAGTTGTTCTCTCCCCAGCCAAAAGGATTAGAAATGATGACTATGGCTCTAGAGTTCATAACCATCCTTTTAACCATTTTTTTTTTTCAAACAGCTACATCTAAAACAGATATTGCTGGCAAGAGGAAATAAGCAGTTAACAGAAAACAATAGTAACATATCACTGGCTCATTATGTGATACAGCACAAAGTATTAAACTTAGATTGCATAATAAATTGGTTCTGGAATTTCTTCCATGGGTTAGATTTATGTAAATTTAAATAATGATAATGGGTAAGAATAGATAAAATGAAATTGCTTAATTGAGTACTCTTAAGCATTGTGACTAAAAGCACTACCTGCATCTTTCAAGATTATCAGTGGAAGCTCCAAATGCAGGAGTAACTTCTTGGAGTGCATTCAAAAAGTCATCCATTGTAACCTTAATGTTCTCTTCCTCCACTGGCTTGGTGAGATCATCCAGACTCAATTGTCTGTTTAAAGCATACGAGACTGCACTTTTCACAACACCTTCTAGTTCTGCTCCACTGTAGTTTTTTGTTCGAGCAGCTGCACAAGACAAGAAAGACAATACCATATTCCCATAGTAAACATCCCATGACCTTCATAGTTCAATCAATGTGATTCAGATAATTTTTTGTTATTCCATTTTTTTCATTAAAATGAAAAATAATCTAGACATCAGTAATAGCAGAGTTTGCTTCATCTACATTTGCATGATTGCTAATAAAGAATGAACTTGATCAAAACAACTGAGTATATATAATATCTTTTTCAGTATCTTATGCCTGCCTTTAAAGTTTAAACCATTAATCATATCCTTATATTACTAACTAAAACCATCAAACAAAAGTAAGTGTTGACAAATTACAATATAGAGCCATAATTTGTCTAGTTTATTGAGCAAAGAATAGTATTATCACAAAGGACAAGAATGCATTTGTGTTTTCTGAATATCTTGGCCTCTTGAGATGTTTGTCATGCTTCTAAAACAAAACAGTCAGGTACAACGGAACTGGTGCCAAAATTTTTAAGATTAATAATAATTCAAAATTTATAAAATCAATTTTTATTTGATAAATATTTAAGCCAAAACTATTTTAACAAAGGAAACTATCCAATAAGCTTGTACTTTTTCAGTTCATGCTTGAACAAAAAATTTCCTCACTTTTTTTAATTTAAAATTTAAAAATCATTTGACCACATTTTAGCAAACAATATTTAATATGAAGTAAAAACTAGTATAAAACCAACCTTTACATGAACTAGTTGTGATTTCTACAAAAGCACAGACACCAAGATAAAGTCTAAATGGTAAAAAGTAATTGGACATCTCCCATTTGTTGCGTCACATGTATAATGTCAAAGTCTGTGTTAGTGTTGTTTCTGGTGTGCCCATGCTTGGGTAACTTCGAAACCAATTCAAAGGTAAGATTGACATATATTTAGAAACTGCTTGAAACTAAAATAACTGTGAACCAATTTTTAATTTGATAGACTTGCCTTCAAGTTGCATGCAATAAAAGAGCATACAATAGATGATGAATAATATTCATTAGTAATGAAATATTTTGCAAATGGAAATAAGAAGCATAATATCCAACCTTTTTATCACTTTCATCAAAAAGGGAAATCTATAAACATATGTATGACAAGACTGGCATCACTGAACACATACCAAGTTCTTGAAGGTTCACGTCAGGAGCTAGAAAAGAATTCTCTTTCATTTTGTTGGTATGAATTTGAAGAATTTGCAATCGACCACTTTCATCAGGAAGGCTTATCTCAACCTGGACTTCCAACCTCCCTGGTCTACAACACGCAAGTAAATGATAAATTATTAAAATATAAACACTAAATGTGCAGACAGCTACTAACAAATCATTTACAGGTGTCAGGATTAAGTGTGTGTCAGGATGTATAATGAGAGTGAATAAGAACAGTTGTTAGTCAACAGTTAGTTGCATTAGTCAGTTGAATAAGGACAGCTATTAGTCATTAGTTAGTTCAATAGTTGGTTACACTAGTCAGTCAGTCAGTTAGTTATAAGAGACTAGCGATAAATAGGAAAAATCAGATTGGGTAAGTGTGTGAAGTGAAATTGATAGTTTGTATAAGTAAAAGGAGAGATCCATTGATAGTTAGTAATGGTATACTTGCTGAGTGTTAACATTATACTTTCCATGTAAAGAATATTCATAGATCTAGAACATGGGAGGGAGATGTAGAAACCTTAAGAGAGCTTCATCAAGCATGTCCTTTCTGTTAGTCATTCCAATAAGCAAAACATTATTTAGTGATTCCACACCATCTATCTGCACACCAAGCAAATAGTCGTTTAGTTTTACAGATACAACTACTGTAGGAACATTGTTTCTTTCAATAAAAATGCATTTAACGCCTTCACTGACCTTTGTAAGAAGCTGGTTTACAATGCTATCATGAACTCCAGTACCATCTCGAGTTGAACCTCTTGACTGCACAAAACATGAAAAAGAACAATGCGTGGTTATATACAGTACCAGGCAATACAATCATGATATTCAATGCTCATGATTACTCAAAGAACTAAAAGCAAAATTTTCAAGGACCCAGATTTAAATGTCATCATGCTGCCATTGATCAAAGTTATGAACTTACTCAAGTAAACTAAGATAAAAACAAATTTTCCACTTGTAAATACATGAACACAAAATGAATAAAAAAATTAATATTGACCAGTGACCATTGCTAAGTGACCATTGTTAAGATGTCCCACATTTTTAACAACCATAATAAAGTTTATGCTACAGCTAAAATATAAATATTTCGCCAGTTAAGGAAAACTCAATGGTTGCTTACTTGCTTATTAACTTAATCAACAAATTGACAATAGCAACATAATAGATTATTGATGTTGAGCAAAGTTGAGAAACCTTATACCTTGCAAATAGCATCAATTTCATCAAAGATAATTACATGCAAATCACTTTCATCCCCTGGAAAACAGTGAACAGTAAAAGTGAATTATATGAAATTTTCAGGAATATGCAATGTGTATCTATACGTCACCTAGGGTCCTCTGGTCCTGTTCAGCATCAGCAAACAGATCTCTCACATTCTTTTCAGTTTCACCAACAAATTTGCTCAAAACCTCAGGGCCATTTACAATCTAGTACATGTCATAAAAAGCAAAAACTAAGATTCCTCAACCACCACAAAAATAATAACCAAATACCAGCATACAGCAAGCAAAGTACACATTTTTCCAATTTTGAAACAATTAAAGAATGCCAATTACATGTCACAAAAATATAGTAAGTATAGAAGGCATAAATGCAGGGTGAGAATTGATAATATGTCAGGAGAAAGTAACACCTACCCAAATAAAACTTCTGCAAGCTACATTCACAAAGTTAGAGAAGAGTGAAACACAAAAAATATTCAAATCCAATATTGTCAAATCAAGCCTAGATTCATTACCAATACGAAAATGATTTAGTTGACAACACATGAAAATAATCTTGTTTTATCATATTCTAAGTAAAACAAAGACAGTAGAAAAACATTCAAATTCAATATTGTCAAATCAAGCCTAGATTCATTATCAATAACAGCATACATAAATGATTTATTTGACAACACGAAAAGAATCTTGTTTTGTCTATTCTTATTAAAATGAAGACAGCAGAAACTGTATAACAAAAGCATATTCCAAGGCAATTACTAGTCCACTATTAAAAATAAAGAAGGGACTAAAAGATATTAATTCAATGAAAGAAATTACAAATATCTTGTCTCAATAAACTGCCGATTGCATACATAACAATTTCATAAAGATGTACTTATTCAAATTTGTTACACAAGTATAAGGAATAAATTCCAAACCTTTGGTTCCTTCCCATTCAAAATTTTCCCAATTTGACGTGCCATAAGTGTCTTTCCAGTTCCAGGAGGCCCATAAAGCAGCATGCCCTTCACATGCTTGATCCCTAATCTGAAACCTCAAAGGCTTCCAAGTAAGAACATGGTAATACAATAAAAACAGCATATTAAATGAATCAGTGTCTGATCTATTACTTGGATGTCACATGGGGAGGGAAAACTCGAGAGGCAAAAGCTCTTCGAAATATATCAGCAAACTCTTCGCTCAGACCACCAATACCCAGAGACTGAAGGTTAAATTCTTTTTGCTTGAAAATGTTGCTTGTGGCACCCTCACGTTGATTGACAATCTACAATGCACAACATAAACCAGTAAATACATGCAAGGATAATTACAATCAGCAGAGTACATAAGTTTTCATAAAATGTAATTATCTTGTTCAGAAAAGTATTGGCTATTATCTCATGTGGAGTATATAAAATAATGACTATTAACCACTACCAAATAACTGATTTTCAGATGACATACAGAAGATATTGCCAAACAAAAATTATGTTAATATTAATGTCAAGGATTGTCAAACATTCACCAAATCACAATCTAACAACACAATGCAGAATGTTTGCATCGGTCGAGCTTTTACAATGTTACTGTAGATAAGCCAATCCAATAACTTCGCAACACCAAAACTCCATGGCTGCTAAATTCATTGTGGCTCTCAGCTTTGATAGGGGTGAGGCACATTCAAAACAACACAGACAGGAATGAGATTTGATGGGGTTGACAATCATGCATAGAGGGGGAGCCATCGTTCGACCTCTTCTCCTTTCTGCTTCTGAAATATCTATTCGTATTCTTAGACAATTACTTTCTTATACCAGAAGCCAATATGAGAATTCCATCTCCTCTCAGTTTTACTGTCAAATTGTAGGTCCACAAGAAGAATGAACTAGGATTTTATAGCCCTCTAGAAACTTCTCTGGTTATACCTGTAAGTTTTGAGAATTTAGAATGCACATTGTCAATGTACACAATTATGTGGTTTATTTACTACTATTTGAGTGAGAATTGGTAATATCACACTATCACAGTAATCAATTTTATTTCACATATATAAAAAGGTATGTCATGCTGGCCTGCTTTTTTCTCTGTCTGTTTCTGTTTCGATTTTGTCTAGGTATATTTCCTACAAGCTTTAATAGGCTTAGAGGCTGACTGAAAAATGGAAGTAGACAAATTTTTCAGGACTTCCTAGAAGTGATTGAGCATTGGCTAGCCTAGCGCCTTGTTATGTGTCATATTTCCTTTTATTTGATATTATTCTCTTATAATAATATATCATACACTGTATATTTAGTTACAATATATAATTTTTGAAGTGTAATTGTGAATTTGTCATTTCAGCCATTCTCACTCATGTAAGTTTGCCACAATCACTTATTTCTAGTTATCAATGGGTCACATCTCACATCAGTATATTTAAAGGATCTTATAAATGCAACATGAAAATTATTTTTATGTATTTTAACATTTATTAATTATTAGATAATTCTAATGTAAATCAATGTCCAATATTAACCAATTTAAGATTTAGACCTATTAATTTTCATAGCAAACAATATCACAAGGCATTTCCTACATTCAATTCTTTCTATTTAAGAACCATAATGTAGGGAATTAACTGCAAACGGAAGCGACAAAAATACATTTTCTGATGTGGGATTTAAGATGCTTAGAGACATGTGAACTGGTGATAAAAGAAAAACCATTGTTGATCCTGACCTGGACCACTGATCAGCTCTTTCCTCTCCTCTTTTTAAGTTAGTTTTGAAATATAGAAGTAGCTTGGATTTCCCAGATAAAATACTGGATGCCTCCTTAGTCATATTTATGTATTGGCTATTTTTTTTAAGTTGTACTGGGTACTTCCATTACCACATGCATCAATAGGTTAAACGTTGTTCAGATCCAGCTCTGATGTGGAATTTTTATACTGCCCAGCACAAATTTTCATGGTAAGAATTGCTGAACTTAAATGAGATAGTTCACAGTACACTGAGGCAACAGATGGCTCCTGTATAAAGACCAAAGATAGTGTCTTGGTACGGCACCCCTACAATGCTGATTATGCATTTTGATCTTGATCTTCATATTTACTCAAGGTTAGAATTTAAGGTATTTAATCAGCTTGGGTTGAGTAATTTATGTGCAGTGTATTCAAATAGTGAGATTTTTGTTCCATCATTATGATTCACTTTTGAAGTTAAAGGTCTGTTACCTTTTCTATTGACCCATGTGAATTGGTGAAGCATCAAAGGATAGTTAAGCCATGTAAGCATTCATAATGCATCAAGAAAGAACCAAGTAGAAAAATGTAGATAGATGTCGAAAGCAAAATGGGAAACTCACCTTAATTCCACTATCCCGTGATGTTTCAAAAACAATGTATGTGTCATCTGAAATCATCCCTCTTTCAAGAGAATTAGACTTTCCTTGGCCTTCAACAGCAGCTTGAGTGACTGTAAAGCTATAATTATTTCCATGATACTCAAATAACACTTTTTGCCCTGCAGTCATAACCTGCATAAAATAAGATCAAATAAAAAATGTTGATCCAGGAATATGGTACATCTAACGAAAGGAAAGCAATGTACATGAAAGAGAAAATAGAGGTACCCAGGATACAGAATGTTCCCAAGCTTCCTTAGAATTAGAAAATAATTTGAGAAATTGTGGAATAATGCGATAATGTGAGATGAGAGAAGGTTAAACAGAATAACATGCACGAGATATCAAAACAACATCATGGGCAAGCTAGTGAACAATAGAAAATTTGTTTACTTTCATCCAGCTATATGCAAAAATATATCACGATTCAAGTAAAAATACAATACCACCTTCCTCCCTAGCTCTCTCTCTCTCTCTCTCTCTCTCTCTCTCTCTCTCCCTCTCCCCTCAATAGAAATTATTCTCCTAATAGATCAGAGGGAAAAAAAAGAAAAACAAACTTATAACTAAGAATAACCATGCATCGCTTACAAAGGAAAGACTATCAGGTATCAATGTATCATGAACAAGTTAAATTTCAAAATAATTGTGAAAACCAAATAAAAATAGTATTGTTGACATGACATAACCATTTTAGAGGAACTATAACATATTAATCAGTTGATTATGCTACTATGTATTACATATAGCAACTGCTTCTCAAAAATGATAAACACACATTCATGCAAATAATAACAAAAGAAGTTATGCAACAACCCTGATATTTTCCTTTCTGTTTTACAACAGTGATCAATCTAGGCCAGAACTTTTTGAAAGAAATCTCTGTCAATTAGTATTGTTAACATCTAGCAACCATACAGTAATGATAACTGACAAACCACAGATAACCTTGTGAAAGACCCTACCTGGTTCATAAATCTCTTCCGAAGTTGCTTAGCCAGTACAACAGCATCAATCTACATGACAAAGCAACACCAACAATTTTAATGCCATACCCTCTAATGAGCAACAAATTGACGACAACACAACGAGCACTTTTCCATATCAACACACCTGTTCACTCTTATTTCCCTTTTTAACGAAGTCCAATTCAAGGGTTAGCAATGCCAGGTTGAAGTTGTCGGGTGGCACGAATCTTACACAACAGAAAAAATGAAATCGTAAGAAACCAAGAAAAAGCGGTAGTCAATCATTCGATAGTATAAGAAACTAACCGGCTCACAGGTACGGATTCAGCAGCAGAAACTTTGGCGCAGCGACGTTGAATGGAATTCAACGCAATTTGGCCACTGCGTATGCTTTCATGAGCAGTAATTCTCAGTTAAGGCCACAAAATACAAATCATGAATCCACGCATTAATGACAAAAAATGAACAAGTGATTGTAAGCAACTCAATCTTTGAACATAATATAAATAAGGAAAATGATAGCTGACTTGAAGGAAATCATAATCATAATAATAGTAGTAGTAAGATTTGATTGAAAAAGAAAGCGTTGAATAGTGATGGAGGATATGAGAGAGAGAAGACGAAGGAATCGGCGATGGAAGCGAGGTAGAGGTTGTGGTGAGAGGGAACGGCGAATTGGGGAAGATCAGAGGTTGAGCAAAAGGCGAGGTTGGTGAGGGCGAGGTCCTGCGATGGCGTGTTGGTGACGATCATCGACGTTGAACCGGAGAACCCACTCGCCATTTTCCTAACAGATCTTGCTTCTCTCTTCCACCTGCAGATCACAACACAATGGAATGGGAATGGCGCGGGAGAGTTGTCTTAGATATTAAGTAATGGAATTTTCCTTCTATACAGAATTGTCAAAAACAAAATGTTCCATAAACTGGTCTTTCGGTTTGGTTTATTTGCCCTAAAATGTTATTAATCTTTCGGTTTTTGTTTGAAATTGAAGGGGTGTGCATAATTTATATTTAAAAAATGTAGTCCCTAGTGAAAATATCTTTTTATAGAGAAATTTCAGAAAATTTTACGATTGTTTGGTTTTAATTTTTTAAAAAAAATATTTTCATATTTTCAAATTTTATTAAAAATATGTTTAGAGTGTGTTCCATTTCTTTTATAAGAAAATAAAAATATTGAAAATATATTTAGTTTATAAAATATTTTGTTTAAATAACATTTTTAAAAAAATTAGATAATAATAATAATATTTTTATTAATGAACAATTGAATATCCAAGTTTAAAATGATGAAAAATATTTAGTTTATAGTATTTTATAAAAAATTAAACTTGAGACCTTATTTAAGAAATATCAAGTTATTTATCACTCAAATTAACCTCTATTAGTCTTTATTTATAATATTTGTATAGTCTATATTTATAGTTCAGAAATACTAAAAAATATAAATTTATACTGATATTTGAGCTAAAAAATTGCTTGGTGAAGTATTTTTTTACTTATTTTTTCTATTTGCACTTTTTTTATATAATGAAGAAGGATTATTTTTATTGCTTTCAAAAAATAAATTATGACTTCTAAAATTAATTTTTAAAGTAATATTTAATATATTTTAGAAATTAAATTTAAAAATATAATTTATAAATTACTTTTAAAATTTAATTTTTAGAATAATTTTGAAGTTCAATTTCAGATTAAAAATAGAGAGTGTAAAAGGAATTTTTTAATGTGTTTTATATATAGTACGTGAACATAACATGTTTTGTATGCAGAATAGTGTTGAGTCCTCTATCAAACCTGCCCTTCACTTGGAATTTCACGCATTATTGTGGATGAAGGTTGAGCATGCTTGAACCCAAACAATTTTTTGGTTAAAATAAAAATTAAAAGTTTTGTTAATCTTATAACTGAATTTAAGTATTTATAAATAGAAATTTTTTATAAAAAATATAAAATTATTATATTAAAATTATAAAAATACAATAAATATTTTTTTAATAAAAGTTTACTGTTATTATTTACTTATTCTTAACTCTAAAAGTTGAAGTTAATAAGTTCTAAAAATTAATTAGAACAAAAAATCATCCATTTTCATCCATCTCATGTGATTTTACTTTTCATCAACTCTTTGTTTATTTAACTTTATGAGTTATTCAAACAAGTCACTTGGCCAATTTTCCGTTCATACGGTATAATCAATCGGTGCAATCTGATTTTAAGAAACTATGATTAAGAAGAAGGAGAATGAAGAGTCCTATTCGACCATATGCTATCCTCTATATCATGTATTTATATTTAAAAGAAAAATTAAGACCTTCACAATATTTTATTGTTTGACAATTGATGTTAATCTTGTTCATGATCAATAAAGAAGTGATCAGATATATGCAGAACAACATTATATATGAGTGTCATAATAATTGAAATTTTAAAATATTTTTTATTTTTATAAGTATTTTTATATTTTTAACTGTCTTGACTAAAAAGGCATTTTCACAATAAGACAGCTCTGAAAAATATTTTCAGCATGTAAAGAATAAAAATAAAATAAAGAAGAACTCGTTAAAGAATCTTTATGATATATAAATATATAAAACCGCAATATATTTTCAATTGTGAGCTTTCGTTGAAATTTAAATTATTAATTTTCTCATTAACGGTGAATAAGAATAAAATTCACCAAACATGTCTTGGCAAATGAACAAGAAATGAAAAGGAGGCCAAAAAGAAAAAATGAGCAAGACAAAAATATAATTAATGATAATAATGTGAAATTAGGAACACAATTTAAGGGTATTATTATCAATATTTTTAGAACTGAACTAGTTATTGAATTAATACAAATATTGGTTCAATTATTCAACCGTAGTTTGAATCGTGTTTGAACCGGTGATCATTAATTTTTTTAATATGTTACAATACTAAATAATAAATTAACATAAAAAATTAAAAAGTTAAGAAAAAATATATTTTAAATTAATATAAAATAATTTTTATGCTTTGTTTAATAATGATAATAATAATAAGATATATGATAAAAAAAACTGAGTACATATTTTTTTATAATTTTTCAGTAATTTTTATTCAATTTAAAAGAACATTTTTAAGATAAAAAAATTCAAAAATATATTTTTAAAGAAAATATAAATTAACTGGTGCAAATCAGTTTTTAACACTGATTTTGGACCAATTTGACTTGTTTTTAGCTAGTCGTTCTGGGTGCAGACTACAGTGCATAAGCAATTCAAGGGTGCACAGGTGCTTAAGGAAAATTACGAGAAAACTATTTTTTGTTACTATTATTTTTAAAATCTATTAAAATAGTTTTAAATTAATATTTTAGTCTTAATATATTAGGTTAACTTCTTTGTAAAAATAATTAATATCTAAATGAGAATAAAAACTAAAATAATTAAAAATAATATACTTAAAAACTATAATGATTGATGTTTGCATGCATTAAAGATTAAAATAATATATTATTTAAATTATAAATTATTTTAATAAATTTAATGAAAATTAAGATTACAAGTTAACAGTAATAAATCTTAAACTTTAATTTATCATTAAATTCAACGACTAAAATCTTATAATGCATTGATAAAAGTTATTGAAATATTAATTAATATGAAAGTTATAATACAAAAATCTCACACGCACAAAAATGTGGTAACTTAATTCTATTGGTAAATAAATTTTATTTTTGTCATATAAGCTTTCATATTGTTCAACATTTCTCAAAAATCATTTAAGACATTGCTGTTATTCTGATTCAAAAAGAGGTTTTAAAAAGTTCAATTGCCCAGCCCTTTCCGTGACTCGTTTAAATTAGGACAAAAAAAACTCAACAAATTAAAAGTCTTGTGAACTAAAAAGTCTACAGAATTGGTCAAGGTCAAAGTTTTATAGGAAAAAAAATTATTATTATATTCTTCAATGGTTTACACACACATAAATTATCTAATTAGTAAAAACTTATATATTATTCTTGACACCAACAATATATTTTTAAGATCAAATAAAAGTAAGATTAAATTAAATTTTAAAAATTTATTATTTTAATTTTTTTTATATAACCAAATAAAAGTTTCATCACAATAATAAAAAAATCTTTTATTATATAATTTTTTCAATATATGGTACTTTATCATGGTTAAATAATAATAATAATTTTGGCTTTTTTTGTAAATGAGAAAAAAATAAAAATTACCAAAATATAGTATTTTTGGGAAAAATTATGAAAATATGAAAATTTTCAAAAACATATCATGACAATTTTTTTTACCAACAACTGTCAACGGCATTTTTTGACAAAAAATTGTCAGTAGTGTTTTTTTATATTTAAAATTTTATTATTATTTTATAAAAAAATGATATTAACAATTTTTTATTTTTTAAAGTTTTAAATAATTTTTTGAAAAATCTTTATTGATAAATTTTGAGACTTTTAAAACTTCTAAATCCTAATTTTTTAACGATTTTTGAATTTTATATTTCTGCAATTTTTTTAAAAAATTATGTTTTGATATATATTATTTTTAAATACTATATATAAAAAAATAATCTGATACTTTTTACATACTATAAAATTTATATTTATAATTCTTACTTAAAGTAACAAATGCATTTACAATTTATGTGAAACTCTTTAAAGTGTTTTTTTTATAAGTTTTTCTATTTATGTATTGTACATTATTATTTCTTACTTATTAGTTTTAATATAAAAAAAATTAGAGACCATTTAGTATTAATGCATGGATCTTAATAAAATGATTATTTTTTATTATTATAAGTAAATAAATCAAATTTATTAAATTATTGGTAGTTAGTAAAAATTATTCTTAAAGTAATATTAAATTTATTTTAATAATTAATTGGTAAGATTTGTTTTAATAATATATAAAAATATTATTAAAAAATAATTTATGTTTATATTTTAAAGTAATAAATTATTTGAAATACGTATAAATTATTGAAATAATATTTAATATGAAATGAAATGAGTATATCTATTATATCTATTTTTTATTATTTAGATATAAATATATAACTAATCTAATTCTTTGAATTGTTTATTATTTTTATTTTATCATAAAACTATAATTAATTAAGTCAGTTATGATAACTAATATTTATTACAATTGTTTTAAAGTAATCAACAAATGGTAAGAAGACAATAAAAAAATAAGGTGAAATCTATTATACCCTCTCTAATTGAGAGGATTTGGTACACGTAAAACATCTACCACCATAGCAAGTATCAAAAAATAATTTAACGATAACTTGTATTTTGTATAGTTTTTGAAATTTCTACAGTGTAAGTGTATATGTAGCTTTATATACATACACTTTATAAAGATTTTATTATTTATTCAGAGTTTATGTCATAATTTATATATTTTTTGATTAATTGTTGCAAAGCAACTAACCTGAAAACTAATAAAATTAAAAGAAATACATTTTGGATCGGAACAATTTTATGTACATGAATTCTTTCGAACACAACAAATAGCCAAAGGTTTATAGATATATTAAAATTTTAGTAATTGTGATTCCAAAATTCAGCTACTAATATTAAAATAAATATAAATTTATATGTAAATTTAATTAGGTTATAACATTTTTATTGTCATTAACTTTTAAAGTTAATTTTAAATGTTAATAACATTTTTTAAAGAATTAGTTTTATGTTTAAAATTTTAATATGATATCAATAGTTTTATTAATTAATAATAATATATTTGATTTATTTTTTAGTCAATGCTATACATAAAATAAAGGATAATGAAAAGAAAGAAAAAGAAGAATAAATTAACAAAGCACATCAGTGCCAAATATAAGTCCAAACAAAGATTGGTGTTTAATTAATATTTTAGAATGGTAGATTTGAAGTATAATTTTGGAGTGTTTTGAAGTTAACTCATAAATATCTTCACCTTAACTCATATTTGAACTAATCAATTTAAAATCTAATTAATTTTTTAATTAATACATGAACAGTACTGGATAAATTACTTCATAACTCACTCTTGAGCTAAAGCTTTTTGACAGCTCTAATAAAAATGGTAGATCGTGCATGGCTTTACTCGTAAATGTCCCTTGTCAGCTGGCCGAAATTTCAACTTCCAAAGTCCAAATGGAGCCCCCCACCACCACCAACAAAAAAGCTGTAGTTAAACAAAGCTTTATCTCAAAAGCTAGTTGCACATGCATTACGGTTGTTGGTTGATAAGGGTAGACACTAGACAGCTCATTGCATTTGCTTGAACATGCAAACCTTATCCATTACAAAATTACCAATTCCATCGGAAGCATTTTTTTAATTCCTTAGGTTGGATTAACCAACCAGTTATAATACTTTCAAGATATTATAACATACGTAAATTATCCAAACTCATTCACGACTTAAACCTTGTGAATACAGTTACATTTATGATTATATAAGAGAAAGATCTATCACTCAATCCATGATACACATTTTCAATCATCTTGGCTGGACTTATGATCTCTTCTAGCAAGTGCTGAAAATTTTGAAGTAGACACATGAAACTGGAATTACCCAACAAGCGCCTATAGCAGTTCAAGGGCAAACCACAATTGAGGTGGTGAAGTATCGAATTTTTTAAAACTTCAGCATGTCATAGAATAAGGTACAATACAACATCCCCATAGAGTGACTCGCCGCAAAATGGAGCTCTAATACAGTGTAATGAATGTTGAAGAACAGAAATTCTTTTAGCCTAACATACAATACCTCAATCTATCCCGTTCTTAAGCTTACACCCATTCTTCTTTACAAATTATACAAAAGGGAAATAGAGAATAATCTCAATCGTGCTCAGAAGACGACAAGACACAGAAGAAAGCAACAGAAAAGAAAAATTGAAATTCTGTTCAATGATTTGTCTGCCTGCATCTCTTGCCTCCTCAACCTAGGGCTATTACTTCCTACCAGGTAATAAGAATTTGGGTAGGTGTAGAAATTTTCCGAGTTCCCAAAGACTCGGGTATAAAACATTTCCCCAAACATCCCAACCACAAGGTGGGGGAATCCTGGTGTGATGGTGGCCCCAAGATTGAGCATTTGTGATGATGAGTCATCCTCTTCTTGGTATAAAGGAGGGTCGAAATGCTGAGTCTGATAAGGATTGCGATATGGAAGTTGCTGACCATTTTGAGATGATGTTGGCAACAAAGATTGAGCACCCAATGCAGGTGGTCTTGGAGGTATAAAGATGTCTCTATAGGATGCTTTCCTATCACGATCACAATGGGCAAGGCCCTGGCCCCGGCCATAGAGAGGAACCATAGTGGTATGAGATATATCATCCTTGCAGACAGGGCATTGTGGGTGCTCATCAGGTGCAAGAGAAGCACTTTGGACATGGAGCCACTTGTAGATGCATGGCCAGCAATAGAGGTGGCCACAGAGGGTGACGACTGGTTCATGTGCAAAATCTAAGCAGATGTTGCAATCAAAACAACCATCCAAATTTTCTGTCTCTGTCTCAGGGTTTGGGATGGTTTTCCATTCCTGGGAAACGTAGTGCTCAAAAGCCATGAATTAAGGAACCTTCTTGGAACTTGGCAACCAGTGCTAATTTAGTGCCTCTTTAAGTAAATCCTCAGACTGAATTTACTCGCTTTTCAACGTAAGTTACGTGAGAAGGAGATATTTTTCAATTGGGCTGGAATGGAGGTTTTGAAGCTAAACAAAACAGGCCCTTAGCCCAGACCAACTAATCACCAAACCGGCTTAAATTAAGTAAGTTTCTGGGGGCATTAAGTAAATAGCTGCACTCAACAGAAAAGAAACAAACAACAGGACATTAAATTTAAATAGAAATAAAATGGACACTTAACCAAACCTTAAAAAAAGCAAGAAAAAGAAAACATCAATCATGAGGAGAGGATCATATCACTTCGAACACTAAAGTATCAGTCACTCATGAAATCTAATACCATAAAGGGCATAAAACAAATCGAAAATGCATTTCATTTCTCCATCTGTATTTGGTAACACTGATAGCACCAGCAACTGCTAAGGTAATATTGGTCCATGACTGGATACGAAATTTCAAAATAAAGACCTAACATGCAAGCATAACAACAAACCTTAATACCTTATAACAGGGAGCAAACACTGTCACGGCTTAATACACAGACAAAATTAGGTGAAAAATCTAATCAGAAACCTAAAATGTTACATTAGCATTCTTATCAAATGAATCAAGTTTCATAAACCCAATCTCTTGCTTCCAAGCAATATCTGAACCAAGAGTAACAAAGATGGCCTAAGAAAAAAGAAAAAAAAAAAGACAGATCCAACCAACTCTGAAACTGCTCACATATTCATATCCAAAGAAATTTACATGCATTGGCCACGACAAACATAAAGCAACTACACCCTCGAAAATCATATATGAACGCACAAGGGGCGATTGTGAGATTGAAGAACAAAAAGCATTTTGTTACATTCTTAGCAACGAACAAACAATTAAATATTAAATGCCAAAAACAAGAAGATCTAAAAGAAATACCCAGAGAGAGAGAGAGAGAGAGAGAATTTGAGGGATCCACGTGTGCAGAGAAGGTTCGAGCAGAGAGCAGAGATTACCATGGAGAGAGAGAGAAGTTGCGGATGGGTTTAATGGTTTATGAAAGGAGAGTGGTGAAGCGCGTCATTCGTTACGGCCTCATTTATACAATTTTTTTAATCCGAAAGTCACATGACAACGTCAACATATGCAGTATTTTAATGAAGGGATTGCTCATTTATGGAGGTATTTTTTAATTAAAATTAAAGTTTTACAACTTTTACTTTATAAATTTATAAAGTAAAACTTGTAAAACTTTAATTTAAAGAAAATTAGGCTCTGTGGTACATTAATATGTATGTTTTCATACTAACCAAGGAATCTTTTGTCACTGTCTTGTGGTCACACCGACCAAACTGACCCGATTAAACTGATCGCCTCGCTAGCGGTCCTCACCTAATGAAGAGGGTATACTTAAAATTTGAAAAGATAAGGCTTTTTTATTTTTAATGCATTTTAAAAAACAAATTACCTTATAAAAATAAACAATTTTTTTGTTTAGGATTTTTTTTTCACGTCACTTTATGTTTCATCTTTACGTCAGATAAAATTATATTTTAATTTTTAAATTAATAATTTTATCTCTTATATAGAACAAAATCATAAGAAAATAAAACTTAACAAAACGTAAGGCTGTTTTGTCTAGGATTAAGATAAAATTAACCAGCTTCGATGATAAAAAGACAATTTAACATCAATTTTGTAAAACAAGACAAAATAATTAGATGATGACACGTAGTTCGATCTTAATAATTTTGTCGATTAAGGGAAAGAAATTATTGAGATTATGACACATGACAATTTTAGTAATTTTGTTTAAAAAATAATGAAACATTTAATACTGACATATGGTGTGATCTAGTTAATTTTGTCTAAAAAATAATAAAACTCTATGAACTTTGACACATATTTTTATTCATGGATTAAGAGTGTAACTACACTTTATTATTAAAAAAAAATTCTTCATAAACTTTGGTGTATGCAAACATATAGCAAGAGTTAGTACAATTTTTTTAGGTTAGTTATGTTATTTTTAAATTTAAATATAAATATTATTAGAGTTGTTGGTTTCTTTAAATTAAATAAGTTTAATTAGATGTGGGTAAATTTAATTTTGTTTTTAAATATGTTTGTGTATGTTAAAATAAAATAGTTTACTTGTTAGTAGTTTTTACAAAAGATGTTAAAATTATATTAGTAGAAGTTTAATATTATGTGTAATATCTAATTTAAAATAATATTATAATTATTATTTTAAATTAATTTAAATATGTGTAATACATGTAAGTAATTAAAGCATGTGGAGAAATATTTTTTTATTAGTATATATTAAATTTAAAATAAAATATAAAAGATAAGGAATAACAGTAAGTAGAAGTGAATGTAGTGTGTTATAATGTGGTAAATATTAATTTGTTATTTATGATTTATATAAAATTGTAAATTTTTATTAATATTTCCTTTTTTACACATGCATGATGAGTGATACTATTATCATTATATATTAGAATGGAAAATTATTATTAAGAAACAAATATGTGACATTTGAAGATAATAAAAAAATGATAAAGATACAAAAATGTATAAATTTTTAGACTTAGAAAAAAAAGATTTATGAAAAGTTGAATCTTAGTGATAACCATGTTATATCTAGATTAATTTCAAATTTTTTTAGTTGATCTAAGTGCTAAACAATATACTCAATTGGATATATGTGATGATGAAAACATTAATTGTATAATTAATGTGTATGAACAATAAAGTGTTACAATTAATGAAAGTTCAAAACTTGGTTTAGATATGTTGGACTTAAACTTATCAATGTCTCCACCTAACCTTATAAAAACAATAAATATAAAAGTTACATAAGATATAAAAAAATTTAGTACAATAATTTATGGTTTATTAGTAGTGGCCACACATATTTAATAAATAATTATTTTTTGAAGGATGTGTAAATCAATATGAAGTTGAAGATGAAGATGAAGATGAAAACATCAATACATATGAGAATAATTTTGATGAAAGACATATTCCATTAGACAGTCCATTTGATATAAACATAGATAGTGATTTTGATTCAAACTTAAATTTACCAATATAATTCTCCAAAAATCTATTCCCTCGCGACATATAGGTGATAATGATAAAATCAAATCATCATAATATGGTTGCCAAATAATCTACAAGTAATAAACAAGTTCAATGTTATTTTTTATAAAATATTAATTAAGTTAAATATGTACATAATTAAATATTAACACAATTACAAATATTACAAAACTCAATATGTTTACCTCATCACGACTAAGCATGTCAAATTTATATCTGTAATAAGAATATTCTTCCTGCCTTTTCTATAACTTTGGTTTGATAACCACCTAAAAAATATGTATGTTAAAGTTAATATTCATTGTTAGTTAGGCAAAGGGAAAAACAAAGGTAAGAAAAATACCTAGTAGCATATAGAAGATGGCTCATGTGTGTGGGGAGGAGGTTATCAAGAGCTACAAACGAAAACCTATCCCATGCTCACATAACAACTAATGCAGCTAAACAATGTTAGTGACCATACAGAGCTCTCAATACAAAACTTCCAATATTGCAGACCCCCAACTATATTGACCGATTATAGCAAAATTCTATAATATTGGTAACTCACTGAAACTTTGCTGTTAGAGTGATCGCTCAATATAAAACTCCCAGTCAACTATAACATGTAAACCCTGACAAATCGGGTGATCTGTAACAAAATTTGCGCATGCATCGCGACGTGAGTGACATGTTGGTCTAACTAGCTCATCTTCAAGAAGCTACCAACAAAAGCATCAAGTTTTGGTCGAATCCTTAGGCTCTCCTCAACCATATCAGCATAGTTACCTCTAGTAGGTGCTATCATTGATCTTTCATCAATCTGTAAACCTAATAACACAAAAATGTCTTGCAAAGTGATGGTACACTCCCCAGGAGGCAAGTGAAATGTATGCGTCTTTGGCTTCCATTTCTCCACTAATGCATGTGATCAACGAAAGGTCTAAATGTGGAAGGATCTCCTTTGAAATACCATCTGAACTAGATAGAATAAATTGACTCTTTCTAACTTTTAAAATAGGATGATTCTGACCATAATGTATATGTTAGAGATTAAATTTAGTATAATATTTACTATAAACATATTATTAATACAAACATAAAGCATTAAATAAAATAATTTTTCACCTCAAATACACAAATAATCAACATACTTTAAAATACTACATAAAAATGCTCTTTATTTACAACCATAATGTAAAAATATCATTTATTACCATACATAAACTATAATACAATACATAAATATAAATGATTTTAAACAAAATTTTGTGAATATTTAATATTAATATAACCTTATATTTTGAAACAATTATCTATTCTTACTATTTTAATAATTCACATTCAAATTCTATTTATAGCATTTTAATCATTCAAATATAATTATAATATAAGTATGTAAATATGAATTTTAATAATATTACATCTAAATTTTATAATTTTAGTAAATAATGATCTTGTTTATTCATAAATAAATAATTCTAAAATTCCAATATTTTATTTTAAATAATTACAAAAGAATTTCTTAGTCCTAAATATAGGAATTAAAGTATCTAATATTGTTAATTTATCATAACTAAATATCTGAACATTACTAATTATTTATTTCAACTAACTACAAGTTAATAAGTACTAATTCAATTTGACAAGGTAATTATGTAATTTTGTTGCTTATTTATACATAAATAAATCTAATTAACAACAATGTATTTATAATATTTACATAAACAATATTTAAGTTTTAAATTTGATAATTTAAATTTATGATTTTGCAATTTAATCATAAAAAACAATTATATTTTACTATATTTATTTTAAACTAAATACAATTAACTGTTTTACTCTTAAAATTAATAAAAATAATCTAAAATTTTAATTTAATGATAACTATACATATCTAATCAA